TGTCTTTTTGAGACAGAGCCTCACTATGCAGTTCAGGCTGGTCTTGAGCTCACTTTATAGCCCAGGCTCGTGTCAAATTCACAATGATTCTCCTACCTTGGCCTCCCAAGGGCTGGGATGACAGGTGTGCACCACCATGCCCAACCTTGCTTTTTCATATATGGAGTAATTTTTAAAAATTATAAATGATTACTGTGTAGGTCCTGAATTCTGTTATCTCCTCTAAAGTGTTCAGTTTTGATCTGACTGGTGGTTAAATTGTTGATAGATTCATTTGTCCTGTGGGGTTTGATTTTCTTCTTTGTTGGGGTAATTCTGTTTCACGTGAACTTTGTCCTAAATTGTGGAGCTTATTTTGAAGATGTAGCCTTTTTGGAGGTTTCACCTGAATAAATGCTCAAAGTACTCAGTGATGTCTTTCACTGTAAACAAATTTATAGTGGCCCACTTTCAATGTGAACCTCATGGTGTCTAGAACCCAGACTATCAACAAAGAGGGCCGGACTTACTGCAGCCCTCTGGACTGTGGCTACAGTCAAAGGCACAGGTGTCTGTATCCAGGACAGCAAAGATCTGTCTGAACCATTGCCATGCACCGATTTGTAGTCTGAACTAAGTATAGAAGCAAGGAGAATTCTGGTAGCCAAAGCCCTGGCAAACTTGAATGAGTTTGTAGAAAAGGAGGAAGTGAAAAATAAGGTAAAAATGTGGCAGGTATTTTAAATTCTATTTATTATATCTAAGCAGGAAATAGTTATGTCAGAGCAAAAATACATGTTTTCAAACGTTTGTTATAGAAATGTAAAGATGTATTTATACTTTTAAAGTTGAGGTGTCTCTGTGATGTGAATTTGATGTTACAGAAAGAAGTGATACAGCAAAAAAAAAAAAAACAAAAAACAAATCTATAGTGAATCCCAGACTTTATGAGCCAGTGTGGAGGCCCACAGTAGGTGATTTCTGCAGGCATCACAAAATCTTGCTTGACATATACTAACCAGGGACCCACGGAGAGCCCTTGAATTTGTTTCTTTTTCCCTGGAGTTCTCTGCCCTGCTGCCCCGCTGCCCCGCATCTCAGCGTTTCCGTTCTGTTTCCCTGCCGAAGCACCTGCGCCTAGTGCCTGAGGGCCCCCGCAGAGCACGTGGCCCTGCGTAGAGCGTTACCTGCACTTCAGGGGCAGTAGCTCTTGCTGCTGCTTCAGCGATGTGCGCAAGCAGCCCTCTTACGTATTTTGTTCACTGTTGTGTCAGGAGTCTTCAACACTATTTTTAGGTTCAATGATGAGCTAGAGTGACTCACAGGACAGAGCTTGTCGTGCTGCTCATTGGAAAGAGCTCAGAAGTATTATATAATCAGTATGGAGGAAGTTTCCTGAAAGTGTTCCTAAAAAATAGATGGTGAATTTTTCTGCATCTATTGACATAATTGCAAATTTTTTCCATTCATCTTATATTATGGTACATTGATTTATGACTGTTGAAACATTGTATTACCAGAATGAACTCCCTTGGAATATATTTTTAAAAAAGAAACAACTGGGCTCAATTTGCTTGTATTTTCTGAAAGATTTTTGTGTTTATCCTGATGAGAATGCTGATCTTGGTTTTATCTTGTAATGCTTCATTTTCTGTTAAATCAGGATGTATCTCTTTATAAAATGAATTGGGAAATGTTCTCTGTTTGTTGGAAGAATATGTGTGAATTCTTCCACATATATGGAAGAATTGATTCTGTTTCCTCTTATATTTGCTGAAATTCACTAGTGAAGCCATCTGACCTTGAATTTTGTGAGGTTTTATTAATGATCAAGGCCCATGTTACCCAAGTCTAACATAGTTCTAATTACTCAGAACTCTCTGTGTGAGATCTCTCCACTCTGGCCCGTGGGAGCCTAAGCTGCTACCTGCCCTTTGTGAGCTTCAGGAATTACAGGGCACACTACTGTCCAGTAGTTCTTATCTTTACCTGGAATAGTTAATTCTTATGTAGATGACTGTGCAAGTTCTCTTAACTCTTTGTAGCACTCTTCTCCTTTTGTTTTCTGTATAGCAAACTCTAGCTGCCTTGGCTTGCTCAAACTGATGGGAATTTAAGATTTTTACTAAATCAGTGAGACACCTCCAGCTGTATCAGGTTCTAGCTTCTTGCGTTGTGGTCCAGTATATATTTCCAGGTAGAATACTGGCCCTCTTTCTGCTTCAGGCCTTAAACAAAGGCAAGACCATCTCTTGGTCAACTAATATTTTCTTAAATTCTGTATACAGGGAAGCATATAAGTAAGTATTGTTTGGTACCTGGCTTTTCTCAGCATAGTAATTTTGTTATTCATATGTATTAGTAATTCATTTCATTCTGTTGCTGAATATGATTTCTGTTATATGGCTACACTACATTTTGTAGGTACCCCAGACTAAATTGATGATGTCACCTTCTGCTAGTAAAGTAATGTTTCAGAGCTGGCATAGATACTTGATAGCCTAAAATAAGTAAAAGTTTTCATTATTCTCCATTAGTTTATTCATTTTAATTCATTTTTTTCATTCTGATTTTTTGAAAAGTCTCTTTATAATCTTAACTTTTCCCTGGTAGGTGTTTTTGTGGTCGCTTGGTCAAGCAACATGCATGTTTTACTGCAAGTCTTGCCATGAAATACTCAGATGTGAAATTGGGTGACCATTTTAATCAGGCGGTAGAAGAATGGTCGGTGGAAAAGCATACAGAACAGAGCCCAACGGATGCCTATGGAGTCATCAATTTCCAAGGAGGTTCTCATTCCTACAGAGCTAAGGTATGTCCCATACTTGATTTT